TTAACTAATTTCAATCAATGTTTTTCTTCATTATCATATCAAAAGAACTTCATTTTTCGCTTAAAGTTTAAATGAAATTGCATCAGCACATTATACATCAGTTTAACGACGTCTGTCTCAGTGGAGCATATATAGTGCGTCAATCACATTTAGTATATAAAGAGAAAGAGATAAAACAGAAACTCGAAAAACGTTTTAAATCGCTGATTCGTTTGAAAATGAAGAACTTTCTAACGATTTTTACGGTAAGGAGCTTATAAACTCTCAGTGCATGCCCATGCATAACTGGCAGAACCAGTATGTGACTATATTAGAATAATTTTGATTAAAAAATCGTTTATGGAATTTTTGAATTGAAATTTCTGGCTGTGAGTCTCACAAAACTATCTTTTCGTAGGTGATATGTGCCTTCGTCTGCATAAATGGTAAGGCAGTCAGCAAGGAATCGGAAGAAGGTAAAAGAAAAATTTTGCACTGAAATTTGTTATTAAAGTCGAAGAACTGTACACTAGAAACAGTTCCACAACCCAACCAGCTGCATGACGATGGTGCGCGCGTAAATCACTACTTCTATACACCTTATGCTTCTTAAATCTGTTTAATAAAATTGTTCCCCATCCCAAAGTTAACTGGACTCAGTCCTAAAGATAGTCGAATTGAAAATATCCCCACTCGAAATTAACGTCGTATTGTGTTTCACCAATAACAAAGCATTTCGACAACCGTTTTAAAAAGTGCGCATAAATGCTCTGAGAGATTAACATGCTATTTTGTACGGGCCAAAATCGTCTGAGGAAGCTAAAAGTTCACGTTTTCGCGACAATTTTTAGGATGAATCCAATTTCTATTTGCGACAGACATATAAGGACAACTCTTTTTAACACAACTATTTTACTCAAATCTGAGTTTTTTCCGAAACTTCATGGTTTTTCCTGGGTGAAAATAGACACAAATATTTTCACATATTTTCATTGCCTCTTTCTAACAAAAAATTGATTTATCTTTTTCAATTAAAGCGGCTCTTTTATTTCATAACAAAATACGAATTCTGGATAAACATCGTCTTCTTTTGTTGACCCAACAGGGCAATTACAATATTTCGTCGGCTTTTGGGAGTGAGTTTTGTGTGTACATTGTTTAACAAAGAAGGAAAATGCATGGCAACACACAAATACACTTACCTGTTTTATCGTTTCCAATTCAAACATTTATGACAAACTTAGATGTCATGATGTTTTGATAATACCATTTAAATTGCAGTAGTTTGCATCCTCGTTGGAAGGAAAAGCCTCCGCATTAACTGCCAACTCTTACAATTTCATCAGCAAATTGATTCGCCTGCACAATCTTTATTCAGAATTTGGAAAATTAGATCGAGTAAATAGTATGAGTTAATTGAAATACTCCCATAATCTGACAGAAATTTAATTGGCAAAGAAGAAAGCTTTCCAAAATGAATTGGCAGTATGCAAAATAATAAATTTGTACTAGATTGGTTTTAAGAGACGTAAAGCGAAACTGAACTTCCAACATTTAACACTTCGATGAAGCTTTTGCACATTGTGAATTCTCACCTTAGCAAACACTCCATGGAAATTAGTAATATTAGTAATATAATATTTTAGAAGGAGCTCTATCGAAAAGAGATCCAAGGCTTCCGTCTTGGTTGCGGCCCACATGGCGACCAAGCTGGAAACCTTCATGGCGACCAAGCTGGAAACCTTCATGGCGACCAAGCTGGAGACCTTCATGGCGACCAAGCTGGAAACCTTCATGGCGACCAAGCTGGAACCTTCATGGCGACCAAGCTGGAGACCTTCATGGCGACCAAGCTGGAAACCTTCATGGCGACCAAGCTGGAGACCTTCATGGCGACCAAGCTGGAGACCATGGCGACCAAGCTGGAAACCTTCATGGCGACCCACGTGGCCTTCATGGCGACCTACCTGGAATCCTTCATGGCGACCCACGTGGCCTTCATGGCGACCTACCTGGAATCCTTCATGGCGACCAACATGGCCTACTTGGAATCCTTCATGGCGACCAACATGGCCTACTTGGAATCCTTCATGGCTACCCTCATGGCGACCTAGCTGGAAGCCTTCCCACAAATCAACGCAGCGTCCAACAGATAAAAGCTCTTAATTCTGTTATGTAATCAGACATAATTTTTCAATAAAGATTGAAGTTGCATACATTATGTGTGGTTCTCTTTATACCCCTTTATTAATTGTTAATTTTTTAAAGCTCTTTAGCAAAATCGTTTCCCTTCACAAAGTTATTGGTCGACCGCAACCGAACCGCGATCAAACCGCGACCAAACCGCGACCAAACCACGACCAAACCGCGACCGAACCGCGACCAAACCGCGACTGAACCGCGACCGAACTGCAACCTAACCCCAAGCGAGCTGCAACCGCAGTGTTAGGTTATTTCTTGACAGTATTGTAATTCTTATCTTTTAACTTTATCTTAAGCTAAACACCTTTCGAACAACCGACCCCAGTGCATGCAATTGGCTTGAAAAATCCCTATTTGTTTTGTTCACTCAAAAGGGTATTTTTCTTTGCCAATAAAAAAGCATTTCGACAAATGTTTTGAAACAGCGAATCATTGGGGCGAGTCCCCACACATGCAACCAGTCGCCGCACCTCTGAAATTAGCATTAGTACATCTAATACTTCACATTATTCTCAATTTTAATTGGTTCATTTACCAGTCAAAATCTGCGTGCAAGTAACAGCCTGAGCATGCGCAGTTATTAAAAACGTTGCGTCTCCTCTAAACACAGAAAAAAATTGAAGTGCTAGCTAATTTACAGCTGTACTACGTTTGGTATAAAAATCGTCCACATATTGGATCGCGCGGTGACGGCGGTGTTAGAGAGCGTGTTTTTACAACGAGGAAACGTTTACCACATGCAGTCATGCCAGATGCAAACGGCAGGAAAATCATTCCTAGATTAAAACAGTTAAAAGCAAACTAAAACCCAAACCAGTGAAAATTCTGGACGGCAATAAAAGCGCCAAAGCACTTTCAAAGCTTCATATTTTAATCGCATAATTAGGCTTTGAACGCACCTTAATCTCTGGCTGTTTGTATACAAGTTGTTAAAATATTTACACCTAAACGATTAAGCGTTTAACTACTGCCATAGCCACTTCAATACATTATTGTCTAATAAAAAGATCGAGGAGAAAAAGATTAAAACTAAATTTGAGAAAAACGGAAGCTTTTAGCTATATGAGCTCTTTAAATGCTTATGTAACCCTCAGGAATTTAGAACAAGATCAGATTGTCGATTCTCGAAGTGATTGATAAATAGCAATAAACAGTTGTGGTCTGCATGGAAACAAAACATAATAAAAAATCAACACACAGATAAAATTACAGCAAATCTACTCTCTCATTCTTGCATGAGATCAGTATTGAGTCATACTAAAGTCATTGATGCATGTAAATAATCTATTGAGTGCAATGAAATATTCTGCAACTTTACATATGCTTCTAGGTAGTCCAAACTCTCTTAATTTCCGTATCACATTAGGCAAAGTTGCTTTCTTCCATTCGTTGTACTAATTTGCTGCCCTTCAACACTAAAATCAGCAAGGATATCTGACGCCAAAGTTAGTCGAAAAATTAGGAAAATTAATCAATGAAGAATATTGCATTGGTATGTCTGATCCCCTAAAATTTGGATTTCAATTTCACAATGTTGGATCATCCAAAGCTGTTTTAAATTTACACTAAATTTAGTTCTGAACAGTTGTGAAACTATTACGTTACGCTTTACTAAGATATTTTTGTTTGCCAATACTGTTCGGTAATATAGTCTTGTGTAAACAAACTTAAACGAGCCCTGGCAGGCATAGAATAGTGTCGGTAAATAATGAAAAAAGTCAATAATTTGAAGATATTCTGAATTCTTTTTTTAATTTCAAGCGCAATTGAGATTAACAATATGCAGACGCTTGCCACGCAACAGTTTTATTTGTTACCATAACAAATTGTCTTTAAGCAGGCCGAATAACTATTATCGCTGAAAAGGTTTTATTCTTCATAGATGCAGTATAGTCAGTATTAGTAAAAAACTGTTCGCAAGACGAGAGCAATATCCCGGACCCGGGTTAAAAAGCCGGCATAACAATAACCGAGAAATGAAATTCGGCTCGTTTTTGACGCAGTTTTTAAACAGGGCAATTTTCTTTGAGAATCTGTGAATCGAAGGAACACTTTAAAATACGAGCCCGGTTTGAACGCGCCAAGTCTGTACCATTCGAATCGGGCAACCCAGCCGCTAGTTTAGCTGCATACACATGCGTCGCTACTCGGAGCAGCCCGGCAAACTGACGATACCCAAATTAGGTCCGTGAATGTGGGGAACAGACAGGACGGAAGGACCAGGGGAGGGAATTTGAACTCGCGTGTCTCGTGTAACCCCCCACCTTTATTTAACTGCACAGTTCTTGAAACTGGCCCGATTTCCAGATATCCTGCATATAATCTTCTCCTGAGAGTAAACTTGCTAGAATTCCCATCCCTATACCTTCAGGCATAAAATATGGTCTTATGGTCTTCCCGCATGCTATTCCGTAATACTGCCGGTATTTATTTCCAATGCAATTTAAGCATGTATATACTGGGCTTTCACGAATAAGGATTGGGTTTTGATTTTATCCGGGGAAACTAAACGATTCCGAAAATATGAACACTTGCATAACCGCGGAATATGACGCAGCAAAAGCTAAATAACCGATATACCCGTACGTAATTAATAAATTCCTTCCAAATAATTGCTTTAATTATCTCACAAAACTGACATGATTGCTTTATTACCTCTTGCTAGTAATTAAACATTTGAACAGCATGTATGCATGTATAGCAAAGCTTTTTGTCAACAAGACTTGGTTTTTCCACCAGTAATTAACATTGCAAATGATTTAATTTGGAGTTATAAATTTTGCATCGGTATGTGCTTGACATTATTCTTGTATAGTGACGTTCGGAGACACAACACCTTCATACAGTACGAGATCACGTTCCAAATTTTTTCAAATCGAAGAAAACTGTAAACAGAATGAGGGTATTTTTAGTCATTGCGGTAAGTCTGTCTTGTCTCCGTTAATTCGTTTTTCTCGTATAAAAAAGTGTGACTATATCATTATTTGAATGGACTAAAAAAGTAGCTATACAAACCAATCGCTGTTTGGCTGCAATTTAATAGTTTTTAGCAGGGATACATACTAACTAGTCTGCCACTATCTATTATTGTCTCGCGCTCAAAAAAGCCAAAAGAAATGTTTTGAATTGTGTATTTCTAGGTGGCTTTTTTCGTGTTTGGATGTAATGGAAAACCTATTCAGAAGCGAGACAGTGAAGGTTTGTGATGAGTCCTTTAACAACGGCATCTTTTTTTGTGTGTAGAACACGAATTAAGCCCAAATAATTGATTTTATCATCTAGATTCGGACATAGAAGAGGCTGCTGAAGAATTCGAGTAAGCATATTACAATTTACGGGCGTATACGGGCCTAAATAACTTTAGGATTGACGAATGATTTCTCCAAAAATTCTCCATTCTCGAGCATACTGTGCCGGTACACGCATACTGACTGACTATTTTTTTTTTGATTTAAACAAGAAATGCCTGACTGACAGTACAAATTGCCAGTAATCCCTAGCCTGCGCCTCCATGCCATGGCCCTGTCCCCACTTTATCCTCGTCTCAAAGCAGATTTAATGATTAGTGTAATTCCTGCAGTTCAAGCCAACTTTGTGAAGAATGTGGTGGGTTAAGATTGAGACAAGATAAAAACAAAAAATTTATGCTTTATTTTTTAGGAAAGATATGATGAAAAACTCCAGAACATTTTTGGCGAAGGTGACTTAGGCTTAACCTGTCTTTGCTTGTTGCTCGACAGCAAACATTTATCAAAGATTGTTTACTTTGTTGCTATCCACCGGCATTTTGCAACGTTTTTTACAAACAGTGATATCAGTGATGCATACATAATTATTCATTGCTTGGAATCTGAACATGATCATACTATCATTCTTCCTTGTATAAAATAAAGCTTTTACCGAATCTTTGAAAGTTTGCATAGCGATAATAGTAATTTGGACTTTAGTTTTGCAGAGCTTTCGGTCCGTAAGCCCGGACGTTACCATCATTTTGCATTTGATAATGTATTTGATATAACGTCATCATCTTGACCTTGCGAAAGAAACAAATCTGAATCAGAATTTAAATCTGAATCATCTCTGGTATTGATATATTTTGTAAAGTTTATCTTCTGAAGAATTCCTCTGAAGATGATTTATATTTTAATTGAAAAATGTAGAGTTTGAATTTAAAAAACCATGACCAGCCGACATTAGAAAAAGTAAAAAATAATTAATAAACAAGGCATCTTGATAGTCAAAATATAAATCAAGCAAGACACAGGTTGAAACTGCAAAATTTTCGACTTTATTTTAAAGTCATTCATCTTCAGACAGAAACGAATGACTTTGAAATAGAGTCGAAAATTTACAGTTTGAACCTGTTATGCTTGATTCATATTTTGACTCTCAAGATATCTTGTTATTCGGAATTTGCTTTTTAATTGAGTTTGAATTTGATTGTGTATGTATCAAAATATTTTATTAACACAATGAATCTATCCGCGGAAGACCTTTTCCTTCATATTTGCTAAAATTCTCACTGGAAACGACTTAGCTTATTAGTCAATAACTATTCTCTGCTTTCTACACTCTCGGTTACGTTCAGCAATTTATCACAAGTATATTCAGAGGTATAGGCCCTATTTTGTTTTCCCAAAAACCCTAGAAAATAATGATATGATGTATGTGAAAATAAAATGCCCTTTGCCAATTTCTGCATAATTTATCTTCTTTCACAACACAATTTGCTAAATATGCTTTCTTCTCAGATTTGACAGGTGCAGTCCGCCCTACCGAACATCCTCATTATAGAACTACCAGAAATTATGCATGGAGAACTACAGAGAGACCATGGTGGGGATCTACAGAACGCCCATGGTGGAGATCTACAGAACGTCCATGGTGGAGATCTACAGAACACCCATGGTGGAGATCCACAGACCGTCCATGGTGGAGATCTACAGAGCGTCCATGGTGGAGATCCACAGACCGTCCATGGTGGAGATCTACAGAACGTCCATGGTGGAGATCTACAGAACACCAATGGTGGAGATCCACAGACCGTCCATGGTGAAAATCTACAGAACGTCCATGGTGGAGATCTACAGAACGTCCATGGTGGAGATCTACAGAACGTCCATGGTGGAGATCAACTGAGTCTCCTTGGACACCAACCGAGGATTCGCGGGGTAATTCTACTGAGCACCCATGGCAATCTACCGAGTCACCATGGCAACCGAGCCACTAAAATCCTCTGATTTGAAAAAAAAACTTAATGAAACTTACATACATAAATATTCGATTCTTGATTGAAAAGATAGTTGATTAATAATATACCGTACTAAATGTGTTCCTCAGTGATTAAAGCCAATAAACATGAATTTTCTTTTTGCAATCAAATCTTTATCTATCGTTGCTTTAAATATTCAATTTTGATATGTAGTGGTATATTTGTTAACTTACATTAATCTTTTTTGCCCGCTCACTGTTAAATTCGTAGATTAAAGGCCGATTTTGCAATTTGCTGCACACTTCTGGAAAGCACGTGACCAGTGTCCTACTTTTTGTTAAGCTGTGAATGTGTGCAAGCAAAGTAACGCGCGATATTAATTCAGTTTGTAAGCAAGCTTTAAAATAGTTGAAATTTCGGTTAGTAACTATTTTTGTTAGTATTCCTGGTCCGGATCAGCAGATATATCTCGTGTGCGCAGGCTTTAGCCACCCAGACGAAGTTATCATAATTATTTATTCCTTCTATAAAAATTGATTGTTCTCACAGCGAAGGAACAAAATAATATTAGCATAACTAGGAACAGGCGTTTAGACTAGCTGCGAGAAAAGTCTGCATGCTTCTTCTATAGCATTTGTAAATTATAGAAGAGTCGAGTATTTTCGGGATTATCATGTGTTCTCAACAATAAGACTTGCAGTTAAGAAACAATGGTAATATGACGATATTATAAAGACCAAAACATGTCATGCAAGACGCAAAATATCAACAAAAAATGGAAGATAAAATTGTTTGTTGTCGTACAGTTTTAATAACATTTGGAACCGGTTTGCCGATTCAATATACTTGTTTTGCCGTCTTGTGTTTGATTGAACACAGTTCTACAAACTGAGAAAACATGATACAAATTTGGCGAGAGAATATAAAAGACGGACAGGTAAATCGTGTTGTTCTTATCTATTTCTTGCGTTTGTACTGTGTAGTGACCAGTGTGTAAACAAGACTAATTAAATATTCACCTTTTATGCCTCGCGCCATTTTGCATCTAATTTCTGGTCATGGCAAGTGGGTAAATATTAATCTGTACATAAAAAAAACGCCTGGTTTACATTCAGTGGCCTTCCAACGGAGGAGATTCCAGTTATTCTTAAAACCACTTTAAAGATCATCTAAAATCCGTTAAGAAAATACTTAACTTAGTATTAACGTTTCCTTAGGCCTGGATTTCCACCTCCAGAGAAAAAGGCTCGCTGAGAAATATTTCTATATTTTCTTTCGGATTGAGATAAGAGAAGTGGGACAAAAATATTCATGTTCATGCTATCAGAGTTAGAAATATTAAACGGCAGTGATCTCTGCAAATAGTTGAAATCGCCCTTGATTATATTTCATCATTTTATATATTTGAAAGCATGTTGTATGGCACAAACACATCACTCAGGTCGCGTTACAAGTTTACTTATTAATATGTCATAGTCACTACGTAAGCATTCCTCTCCACCCCAACCCCCCCCCTCCCGCTGAAGTGCCTTAAACGAACTCGGCTCATTTGAATTTATGAATGATTTCATTGAAGACAGATTCTCCACAGACTTTGAAACTAATTTACAGAATGAATTTCGACTGCGTGACGAACAGACGACGCAAGAGAATTTTGAAAGTCCTTCCCAAGTGAAAGGCGAACAATGTATTGAAACTAGTAGCTTTGACAGTCCTACCAACGTTGGAGACGAACAATTGGTGGAAAGTGGTGGTTTTCATGACCGTCCTATAATGCAGTTGAAAATAGACGATCAAATAAAACTGGAAGTTTTGACAGTCCTGTGAGGGTTGAAGATGATCAATTTAATGAGACCGGTGATGTCTACCCTGGAGTCTTACATTCAGGGAGAAAAGAGACACCTTTATCGGCTTTACACTTTTTGGAAAAGGATTGTTACAAGAAGAGATATATACACTTGCACATTCGGGCAATATCTTTTCGTGAATAATTTCGTGAAAAGCTTGGGACGATAGAAGACCTTCGGGAGGAGAAGAAATCAAAGCATCAACGAAGACAAAAACATGGCAAACAGACACGCAAATCAAAGCAGAAAACAGGGAGCCATTCGGAAGAACCAAAACCATCAGAGAAACAGCACAACCCAGTCAAGCAGAAGAAAGAAGACCGCTTTTTCCAGAGCGACCAGTTGGTATAATAAAAACTCCAAATTTGGAAAGTGAGTGTAGGTCGAGAGAATACGTGTCCAATTCTACAACAATCCCCGATGCTAATGAAAACCGTCAGGTTAGACTGGTTAGTGTGATCTGTTTCATTCTCGTGCTCCCTATATACACGTGATCAAGACTGTCATATCAAATTACAATGGTGCACTGTTACATTATCTAATTACAATGGTGCACTGTTACATTATCTAAACACAATAGTGCATTGTTACATTCCTGATGAAATCGTTCATATTTACAATAATCTTTCCATTGCTGGGTTTAAAACTATATTAAACAATTATTTTAGAACAACTCACTGATTTAAATATAATAAGAGTGCATTGTCTTGAAACATGGGGTCTGTGAGAACAAAATATCTTATTTCCATTTCTCTAATTTATTTATATTAACTAAATTGCGTCATAGTTTTAATAGTCTGTCTAAGTTTAACTCACTAGGGACCTTAAGCATGTTGGACGGCAACACGACGACGACGCGGCTGAATTTCTCCTTTAAATAAATGCTACAGCAAAGTTGTTGTTGTATATTATTAATTGTACCTATTTAGTGAGTATACGGCGTTAAGAAAATTGTGTTTATGTTTAAGGACCATTCTATAGAGCCTAATTCGAGGTAAGGCACTAGGGCTCCCTGGGTCCTGAAATGCACCCGTTGTAGGCAAGACGAAAAAAAACACGTTTTCCCGTTGTAAACAGAACAAAGACGACTTCTAAAACCCATCATTGGTCTTTAATTTTTCATTTCTTTTCAATGACCCATTGTATTGATAGCCGTCGTCGTCGCGTTCGCGTCCTGCATGCTTAAGGTCGCTAATATTAACTGAAGCAACTACGTTTTAATTCATTCCTAAAAGCTCTTCTTTCTTGTTTCTAGTATAGTACAAGGTTGAATTCTTTGTGATGTCATAGCACATGTTTTCATCCAACATGGCCGCTGGCGTAACGCACCTCCACATGTAGCCATCCGTGTTTTTGCTGCGAATAAATCTCGCATAAGTAAACGCTTCGTGGACGTTATTTCCACACCATTCATCTCGCAGAATCTGTACTCGATATTCTGAAACAAGAAAACAAAACCTACTTATCTATGGGAATAAATTATGACAATTATGATATATAATTGATATATTCACTTCAACCCGATGGATTTCTATAGACACTTCCCGAATTTGCTCGAGTGCACACAAAACAATGAAATCTATTGTTGGTGGGATGGTTTTCATTCCCCGAAAACAAATTCGGAAAGTGTCTATTGTGAGCTATTGCACTTACAAAAGAAATCCGTAGGGCAGAACTGGATATTTAATCCATCCCCCCCCCCGGTTATTGTTCAAGTTACGCCACTGCTTTGAGGTGAGGTATTGAAATCAGCATGATCCCGATAATTAAAACATAAAAATTATGACCTCTGATTGGTCAAGCGATATCGCATATTACGCGATAACCTTGTTAAACTGATAAAACATTTTAGTTTCGAGGGTAATTTATCATTACTTAGGCAAATATTATTTGTACATCATTACAGTATACCTGGAATCTCTGCTTCAGATCTATTCCGTACGTTCACGTGACCGAACACATGATTTCTGAAATTTCTCCATTGAAAGAGATCACCGTTAACATTAATCACCCCAGATGCCATTCCTTGTATAACATTTACTGTCAAAAATTTCCTCCAGAGATTAAAACCCGCGAGGCTTCCTTGGAACGCCTCCTTGCCCACGAAACTTCCTCCATGGGAATTCGAATTCTGACCAAGAACCACTGTTCCGTTGGCGGGTATAGTGTAACCTTCCGCTTTCGTTGTATTTTCAACTTTTATCCCGTCTTGGTAAACCTCGATTACACCGTCATTGTTTCTCCACTGTAGGCAATAGAAATGCCACGAATCGTAGGCAGAGATCGTAGGTCTAAAGAGTTAAAATCAAAGCACACAGAGGTTACTACTTTTACTGCCATGGAAATATTATCAAACATTTCAGGCAAACTAACTCAGTGGTAAGGTAGTCTAAGAGGCATTCTATTAAAGAACATTGCAACAATGCTGTAAGGTGGTATTTCGGATTTAGACGATCGGCACACTTGTTGATCTACTTTTTCGAATCGATTAGATTTAGTTCTCACTAACTCATTGGCACTCCATATGTTCTTGATCGCAAGGTCTAAATACAAGTTGTGATACAAAAAAACTGCAATTTCCCTGGCATGAGCATGACTTGAGTACAAAAATATGGAAGTGTCCGTCTTCAAAAATTTCGCCCAAAAACATAGAGAAAAGACGGTGATGTTGTCGCGAATGGCATTTTCTATTTTGACGTAGTTTTCGACCGTAGCTTGAGGGAAATCCATCTGATACACAGATTCTGCTCCTGGAAAAAAAAGAGGATAAAAAACATCGTCTAACAACATGGACGGAAAAATCTAAGGAACCTAAAATTAAGACGACAGGGTATTAAAAGGATTCCTAAAGATGAACACAATAAATGTCAAAATAATGATATGACCAATACCGCATATGCATGTAGTTAAAACTCAATACATGAATGCAAACATCCACGTTTAAAACAAATATAAAAGGTTATCTCAATGAATACAACTTTTATTTCATCTATTTCATTTCTAACGGATTCGAACACTTCACGAAATTTGCTCGAGTGCACACAAAACAATGAAATCATTGTTTGTGGGATGGTTTTCATTCCCTGAAAACAAATTCGGGAAGTGTCTATTGTGAGCTATTCCGTCGGGCAGAACTGGATATATGAATATTTAACCCCCCGGGTTATTGTTCTAGTTACGCCACTCCGGCCTTTGAGGTGACTTTGAAGTATTGAAATTAGCATATAACATGATCCTGTGAGAGAATAATACGGAATTTAGTATAATTGCAACTTGAAAATTATGACCTCTGATTGGTCAAGCGATATCGCATATTACGCGATATACCCTTGTTAAACTGACAAAACTTTTTAGTTTCGATGGTAAATTATCATTACTTAGGCAAATATTATTTGTACATCATTGCAGTATACCTGGAATCTCTGCTTCAGATCTATTCCGTACGTTCACGTCGCCGAACACATGATTTCTGAAATTTCTCCATTGAAAGAGATCACCATTAACATTAATCACCCCAGATGCCATTCCTTGTATAACATTTACTGTCAAAAATTTCCTCCAGAGATTCAAATCTGCGAGGCTTCCTTGGAACGCCTCCTTGCGCTCGAAACTTCCTCCATCATAGAAATTCGGATTCTGACCAAGAACCACTGTTCCGTTGGGGGGTATAGTGTAACCTTCCGCTTTCGTTGTATTTTCAACTTTTATCCCGTCTTGGTAAACCTCGATTAAACCATCATTGTTTCTCCACTGTAGGCAATAGAAATGCCAAGAATCGTAAGCAGAGATCGTAGGTCTAAAGAGTTAAAATCAAAGCACACAGAGGTTACTACTCTTACTCCCATAGAAATATTGTCAAACCTTTCAGGCAAACTAACTCAGTGGTAAGCTACTCTAAGAGGCATTATATTGAAGAATAGTGCAACAATGCTGTAAAATGGTATTTCGGATTTAGACGGTCGGCACACTTGTTGATCGATTAGATTTAGTTGTCACTAACTCATTGGCACTCCATATGTTCTTGATCGCAAGGTCTAAATACAAGTTGCCATACAAAAAAACTGCAATTTCCCTGGCATGAACATGACTTGAGTACAAAAATATGGAAGAGCGCGTCTTCAAAAATTTTGCCCAAAAACACACAGAAAAGACGGTGATGTTGTCGCGAATGGCGTTTTCTATTTTGACGTAGTTTTCGACCGTAGCTTGAGGAAAATCCATCTGATACACAGATTCTGCTCCTGGAAAAATGAGAAGATAAAAAACATCGTCTAACAAGAGACGTCTACAGCATGAACGGAAAAATCTAAGGATCTTGAAATTAAGATGACAGGGTAGAAAAAGGATTCCTAAAGATGAACACAATAAATGTCAAAATAATGATATGACCAATACTGCATTTGCATGTAGTTAAAAATCAATACATGGATGCAAACATCTACGTTTCAAACAAATATAAAAAGTTATCTCAATGAATACAACTTTATTTCATCTGTACTCTGTTGAATGACAAGTTAGGTCATAACGAAAAGAAATACTAAATCGATCGCGCCTGGGAATTCTGTTTTTTATTTATAGTCGTTCTTTACTTACGAGAATTGTGTAGATCACTTGGTGTCTCTTTGAATGTAACGTCTTCGGTAACCTTTGACTTTATTCCAAACCACGCGAAGACGTTACCGTTTTCAAACAATGGTCCTTTGTTTGCCATTAGCGGTAATACATGTCCATCAATTTCATAGTTCCATATATTGAGTCTACTTCGAGAGATGTTGTGCTTGGGTCCATCTGAAGTTCAACAACAATTCATGATTTAATTGTATATCCACTCTGATCTACTCTAGTGATATGATTGCACTGAATTATTTCATTTATTTGCCGATGAATGAATGATTAACATGCAGTCCAGGCTGTAATTTCTGCATCTGTTTAGCAAGAAAGTGTACAAATCCCCGAGCCGGCGCAAAGCACCGGGCGGGTACTAATTCCGCCCGGAGATGTAAATCACGCCGGGAATGCAAATGCTAAATCAAAGTTGTTCGCCATTATTTCATGGACATTGGGCGTTTTTGTAAATTATGCGCATGGGTGAGTTTAAGACGAGGCATAAAAATTTTTTCAAAGAATATTTTTCATTCCGATGGTTTTGAAAATATACGAAAAATTCACTCCTAAAATTGATTAAAATATAAAGTAAAAGATGCTTTCGGATAGAAAAACTTTGATTCAATTAGATGGTGAAAAATCTACGATTTTAAACGATCTTAAAGCCTTTTTGAAGTGTTTTTGAACAGGTGAATGGGTAGATTTTGTATCTTAAGGCATGCAAGTATTTTATAAATTTAAATTGTGGATTTATCAACAAACATACGACACCTCTTTGAATTTATTCGTCAATTTCGTAGTACTAAACCAAAAATGCTACTTACTTAATTGCAAGGAAATTTCTTCTCCTGCAGGAATGGTCATATTTGAAGCTACACCATGCATGATGGAGACCAATGAACCATCCAGATATATCTTCCAGTGGCCTGAATCACTCGACCACGTCGTACCAATATGATGCCAATATGCTGGGAATTCATTCCAAAACCTTGGAATCCTTGCTTCTCTAAAACGTTTAAAAGATTAGTTAGTTTTACCGTAGCTCTCTCACAGAATTTTGACTCAGTGTCGGGTAAATAGTGTCACGAAACGCTAAAATCATGCGATCCAAAACAGCCTAACAACGTTTTTATTATTAACAAGTCGTACATTTATTTTGGAGAAGCTGTAAGTGAATACTTGAAAAAGCTTCATTGAAAATAAAACTCTTATCCAGAAATTATCTCATCACAGATTTGCTGTATATCAGTATATGACCTCCTTTCTGAAAGCAGAGCTAGTTTTAAGTAAAACCCTGCCTTTTTTCATGATTTCCATGTATCTCCAAGGTGAGATTTTCTGCGGTGAGATAAATTGAGAGCAAACGGGTTCCTGAAGCATTGATGTAATCAACAAATGTCAGGGGTTCTGTGTCCAGTTCCACCGGCGTATTTTCAAATTTGATCCATGATGTTAAAGTGAAAGCCTCGAATTCTTTTCGTGGTGGTACGGTATGGACGTATTGATTGGTTTGTGAAGATGTCGTGACAATGTCATACTTCAGGTCTAATTAAAAAAAAGTCACATCCATGATTTGGTTTCATATTTACTTCTCTATAATAAATTGATTTCGAGTTTTTTCTCACGAAAATTTTAGCGTTTAAACGCCTTCAATGTGTTGAAAGGGTGAAAAATGTCAGTCGTAAATCGTAATTATTTAATTACGTCTCTCAGAACAAGAAATCAGACTGACTTACTTTTTCGGAGTGGTTTACACGAACTTGGCTGTTCCTTGACCACTGTGTGACTGCGAGTGTTCTTAAGAGAACTCCAGCTGAAAACATTTCCTGATGCACTACCAGAACATCTTCTGTTTGTGGAATTAATTTCGACATCATCAGGAGAAACAGTTAGAAATTCACTCCAGACATTTAATTGACTCAGTTTGCCCGAAAACGAACCCTCAGAAATCTCGTCTGCCCTTTCCAGTTTCTGTCCTATGACGAAGACACCCCCATCTTTCAATGGTACCCCCAAACCAAGACCATCTCCAGTGTAGACCAATGTACCGTCAAGAAAAATGGCGTATTTTCCAAGAGACCACGATGCTCCCACATGATGCCAATGGCCGTCATTGATTGGCGGAACAGGAAAATGCCTGAAATAATATATATTTATTTTTTTATTAATCAGCAGCGGGCGGATCTTAGCCTATCCTGCAATCTGATTGGCTGTAGCAACGGACAGAATTTTACGATATCTGGCCACGGTCCGGAATCTTATATTTTACGCTCGAGCGAAAACTTATTTGTTATGCATTACCAGAAATTTGGGACATTTTGCGTCCGCGTTCGTGGGCAGCGTCCGTTTCTTGACCAGAGGAATTGGTGAAAATTTCATAAAATGGCTCGATGGTATAATTATGCAATTATAATTATGCTTCAAATGTATATGGCCGGATGCTTAACACACTGAAGAATCATGAAATTTCAAACGCTGTGGGAACCGTGGCGGTAAAAAATACGAAGATATTTATGAGTTATATCGGTAGCTATATCACAACCAAAGACATTTCCGACTCCGAACTTTACATCGTCCAAAAGGAAAGTGGTGTATTTGACCAGATTGTAGAGCATGTTTACCGATATTACTATGGTTTATATAGCCGAATCATTCAAATTGGACTTGTATATAAATCGCACTCAGGAACCTAGAGGATTTGCTAGTGAGTGAATATTTTTTGTTATAACTCTTCCTTTCTGAGCGATTTACAGAATTCGAACTCCGAACCAAGAAAAAAACACACATAGGAAGCGTAATTTAAAGTTTTGTGATTAAGCCATATTGTTTCGCATGAAATTTGGCCGCCATGTTTGTTTTTATCCGAATGCAAGACGCCATCTTGTCCCAAATTTCTGGTAATGGTTTTTCTAAAGATTCATTCGCAAACTTTTGACTTTTTTATTTTTTAATATATTCGGACCAAATGATTATCACGATAAATTGAAGTGAGCTTTAGTAAATTAAACAAATTAGTTTTTGATTGTTTTACTATAATACGACCGAACGCCGCTTTTTGTAAAAAAATGTATACTTCATACCTTTGCGATGATTGAACTTCAAGGATTATCACTTCTCGCATAACTATGAGTCTAAATTCTTCGCCGCTTTTATTCACTCCGTAGGATAAAAGAGCCATTTTCTCTGCTTTAAATGTTTTGATCCAGAACTTAAGTGTCAAGTTAGACATCTTTGGAACATCGTTGTGAAGTAAAGTTAACTCTTGAAAGGTTTGAAAATCCAGATCAAATTCTTCTGCAAGGAAATAAAATATCGTCAAAGAGAGAAGTAACAATATAATTATATATACTATTGTCTATATGTAAATATAATTATATACTTGTCAAGCTATTTTATTTGCATCGCATGCAAATGCAGATGCAAAGTTGTTGTTATATATGTACGTATATAAGTATATATATATAAGTGTATATATATATATATATATATATATATATATATATATATATATATATATATATATACGTTTTATAAGTTGGTGACTCAGAATGGCAACATCACAATATACATTTCATATATACACCTGAATCTTTGCACTATTACAATAGATATATATTGGTCAGACATAAACTCAATAGAATATTTTCCTGCATAATATTTGCAACACGTAATATTTGTAACACGATGTTCCTACATGCTTTTTTATGATGATCACGTTCCTACAACCTTTTCATACCGGCTTACCTGCATCTTGTATTGTTGGAGTTTCAAGACTTTTTCGATCGAAATTCGAATCTTTCTGTGAATAAGAATGGGAAATGATCTCCTTGTAATACGCGCAGACATGCATGGATGTATCACAAAAAACGGTAGATACAGGGTGAGTAAAAAAAACCTGACACCTTTGAAATTCAAATTAGCCGCAAACTGAAATTTGACAATTCCCATTGTGTACAATCAACAAGACGTGGTTAATTAATGCGAAAGTGTTTAAACCAATTGAATTAATTCAACGTTATTTTTTATCACAGAGCTTAGAATGCATTTTAACTCCCAAAGGGAACAATGAAACTTTATGTTTAAAGTTATTTAATGGGTTCACTTATTTGATATGCTTCGTATACCATTAGATATTTTAGGCAACTTCTGTTACATTAAGCTTAGCGCACACTGGTGCACTTAGCACGCACATACGTCACTTGTGACGATTGTCACCTGCACACATTCCTCGTCTGCGGGGACCAAATTGAGATATTCTGTCATTCGTGTCGTAATATCCAATAATCAAACATGTTTGATATTTTCTATCACGTGTGACAAATGCGCCAAGTGTGCGCTGAACAAATGCGATTAAAATATGCAGCAAGGAATATGTAAATGTGAAATATAAAAATAAACAAACTAAACATGGAGTATAAAAGTGACGATTATTTGTCTGAAGACGAAGAAATTTTGCCTTATATAAGGGTAGCCAATTGTAAAATATGGACGAAACGATAGATGGACGAAATGCTTTTTCCCGTATAGATCTCTGTTTTTGAAATCTCGCGAGCGTACATTGTAAATACACGGATATTCGGGATATATGTGTACCAGTTTGTCTTCTAAAATGGCTTCTGCAACCAGTTCACTGCGTTGTTCCTCCATACTTTTAAGGTTATTTATTGTATTTCTTATTTACATATTCCTTGCTGCATGTTTTAATCGCATTTGTTCAGCGCACACTTGGCGCATTTGTCACGCGTGTTAGAAAATATCAAACATGTTTGATGATTGGATATTACGACACGAATGACAGAATATCTCAATTTGGTCGCCGCAGACGAGGAATATGTGCAGGTGACAATTGTCACGAGTGACATGTGTGCGTGTTAAGTGCACCAGTGTGCGCTAGGCTTTACAGCAAACTACAGACACATTGCAGCTAATTTGAATTTCAAAGGTGTCAGTTTTTTTTACTCACCCTGTATAATTATATGTAACAAGACGCCGTTCTGGCGTTAACTCCGGCGCACGTGCCAGTCTTCAATATAGAGCTTCTGAACATAAACAATACAGTTCGCGTATTGTTTCGCATACATATTCGCATTTAGATGCCTTGCGAACCTAAATGTTCGATCGCGAAATTCAGAAGCACATCGAAATAGCAGCGATAGCATCGAAATAGCAGCGATATTATTAAAATAGGACCGGAATCTACATGTATTAAATATATTCTTACCCCAATTCTATCTAAACTTAATCGAACAGCATGAAAAGAACGGTTTATTTGTTCCTCTTGGAGAAATTGCCGTGTCATGCGAGCGAAATCGAATCGCGCATTGGAAAATTAGCCAAAGCTGTGCACCACAACTCTTGGGAGATAAGACTGGGACGTAGATAAATACGGTCACATACACGTTTTAAATACAAGTAAGATTTCGCGCCATTACACACTTGCGACGACGAAAAAAAAAAAAAAAAAAAAAAAAAAAAAAAAAAAAAAACCGGGGCGAATTTTCAACTCCGTCGCTGACGCCGGAGTAATAATCATATAAATCTTTACTATTGTAAGAAAGATATGCATTCGGCAATTACCTCGCAAGAATCACTTTATCCAATTGCGAATGAAATGAAAATAGATTGATGTGTTTTTGACATACACTATTCAAATGCACGAAAGCATATATAGATGCTGACAGCTTACAGGGTTTTGACTGAGAATCGTCAAAATATATCACAAATAAAGAGCGCTTTCCTTTTTATGGTTAAAACGGCCAAACGGCGGTTCTGTTGTATTTCGGTACAGACAGATTACTGGTAGCTATTTTTTAGTGTTTCATGAACTCTGCATGCATTCAAGAATATCGACTTTATCACTACTTACAATTCAAGATGACTTTATCAGTACTTACAATTCAAGCGGTCTGACCATTTTAGCCGCCGAAAGGAAGCGCCTAAGGTATATCGGCTCCCTATTTTTTCTACCTTTGACTATGTAAAGATGGTCGAACTCTGGTGTATGCG